AAGTTGAAATGTGGCTTGGATGTAAAAAAAATCAACTTTCACTTCAGACATTCAGATACTGAGGAAATAATGTAGTTTATGCTCTGGAAGTTATAACATTATCATCAGTGTTAAATTATGTACCTTGAAAGGTACAGATACATTGGAAGCTATTAAGTGATGTGTGGTACAAAACCTGTACAAAGTTATACCATAGTCACAGCTTGGAGAGACGAATGTAATGAATTTGCTGAAATTCTCTTCAGTGAAATTGGATCATCAGAGGCTGTGGACTAATGAGATCAGATTCCTTTTAGAGACAATTGCCAATGAGAAAGAACTGATTAAATACAAACAACTCTATTGAATTCACAGCCTAGGTCTCAAAAAAAATATAGATTAGTAATCCAATAATTAATCAATTTAAGTAGGAAAAATGTAACTTGAAAATCACAAAATAAACACATTTTTCACTGTACAAATCCATTTCCCCCATCATTTTGCTTTTTATAAACTCGAGCCGTTATCTAAATATTAGAACTATTCTGGAGATCAAAAAGGGAAGATTTATTTTAAAAAACCTCGACATTAAAACAAAGAGAAATAGCAGTTCCACCCTCAGAGATTTCACTCAATGGAGAGAATGAAACAGACCTTTTAACAAGGGCCCAGACCAGGGGTCTGCAAACTCATTCTGCAAAGGGCCAGACAGTGAATGATTTGAATGGTCCCCCTGGTGCTTATTCAAGTCTGCTCCCAGAGCACAGACAACGATGAGCAACACACAAGCAGACCGGTGTGACCGTGTTCCAATAAAACTTAATTTACGGATACTGAGATTTCAGTTTCATGTAATTTTCGTGTGTCACGAAACACTATTCTTCTGATATATTTTTTTTTTAACATTTAAAAATGCAAAAGTCATTTTCAGTCCTTCACAGAGTTTACAAAACCAGGCAGCAGGCTGGGTTCACCCTGGCCCAGACCCTGGAGCTGGGTGGCCCAATGGTGTTTTTGAAGACTCAGAAAACTAGTTCCCGGGGAAAGTCAGGAAGTTTAGATTTTGATACTGGAATAGATATAACCTACATATTTATCTTAGATGCTGCTAAGTTTTGCCATCAACATGACTAAGCCCATTCTAACACATTCTAAACACAGTCTGCTTTAGTTTTGCATTTTATTTGCAATATGATTTTCTCGAGGCTTGACATTTTATAAATGAACTTCATTCCAAGAGGATATACTTGGGGACCTATGTACTGCTGTTATTTGTTCTAGAAAATACGGAACCCCTTCAAAATCTTCCATTTTAACTGTAGATTTATTGTTGAAAAGTCTTTATGAGTATATATGTTATCTATTTCAAATATGATGTATGAGTTCTTTAAATATCTCCTCATTGCAAGTAAATTGATCTACATTTATCACAATGACCAATAATGTTAGTGTTTGGTTGTTCTGTGATTAAAGCATCCACGTCCTACTGCTTCAACTTGATTCAGGCATGGCTAAGTTATTATTTTAGTAGCTTTTTTCTTTTAAATACAGATTGCACTGATTAAGCAGTCCTGGTAGTGATCCACATTCATCCTTAGAATTAACGTAATTAATCCAATCTTTCCTGAACAGTCTATTTTTCATGGAGGCATAAGCAGTTGAAGTGTTTCAGGGACACTGACTCAGACGTGGATAATTAACTAGGACTTTCCTGTTCAATGTTAAGAAAAGCTTACTCATGACGCTGTCAACACTGTAGTGAAAAAAAAACCAAAAAGGAAGCACTTACATCCTTGGAATAGGAAATAGATTAGTTTCCCCTGCGGTGCTGCTGCTTCCTTCACTGTCCACGCTATACCCACTGCCAAAGCTGCTGCCCGAGGAGCCAGTGGACACGGAGCTTTCTGCAGGCCGGTGATTGGTGGGCTTGGCTGCATGGTGTGGGAAGAGTCAACACCACAGTCAATCAGTGAACCTCCCACTGACCCCCAAACGCATACTTAGACGTTTTCTTCATTCACATATATAAAGAAACTGCTCTAGCAAGAACTCCACATTTCTTATCCTGCCTTTCACTTCCTTTTCTTTAACCAATAACTCTCAGTGGCAACACTGAAGTACTTGATTGGTTTTAATGGACATTAAAAGAAAAAAAAAAACCCACTTCCAGGGACAAACCATCAGATTTTGAGACCAAGTTAAATAGCACTATTATTATTTGTGGTTTGTTTGTACAGTAAGGCAATAATGACCTGGCAAACAAATAGGAGTTGTGGCTGTTTCCTGGAGGAAGGACTTTAGAAAGACTTGGGTAGATAGAAGTAACAGAGTACGTGAAAATTGCTTAAGTATTTTCCATATTCATAACCAATAATTTGTTTTCCCCTTGAGAAGTGAAGGTACAGAATAGAACAGATTATTTAGAACATGAGTGAAGATTCTGGGCTTGCCTGTAGCTCTACCAACTATCTCCAGCAGGATTTTTAAATTTGAAGAGATTTGTTCCCTCACAGGCATTTCCTGGTTGCCTATGACTGGGACTTGTTTTAAATACTCCATGAGTTTGAGTTTCTACATACAAGAACCCATATTCCTATAGAAGAGCTATGAAAAATTTGTGTTAGAAATTATGCAGTAAGAGGGTGGTAATTCAGTGGAATTCTGGATTAGAGAAAACTTGGGAGGAAATTTTGATGCAAAAGGAATGAAGAGAAGGCAAGCGTTTCCTCATCTTTTGTTGGGGGCTGGGGGTGGAGTGCCTCCAGGCAAATTTTTGAAATTGTCATTTGTTCTGCCTTGTCATCAGCTTAAGAGCAGGAGCTTCGATCAGATGGGTCAGTTTTGAATCCTGACTCTTGCTGAAGTAACTCTAGGAAGTCTCAGTTTCCGCATTTGAAAATAATGGGGCCAGTAATGCCTCCCTCATGGGCTGGGAGGATAAGAAGTGAGATAAAGCAGGAACCCAGTAATTCACTCTTCTTCGTCTTGTGATTTTATTTGCCACACACCCAACCTCTTCTTCAGGGCTTTATCGTCAGCGGCTCCTCCCCAGTGTCTTTGAGCACACCTAGCCCCTGACGATGAATTTGCCCTGATTCTCTTCCAATTTTAGATGTATTCTAGGCTGCAAAACTACTTAGAGTCTCTCTCCTCCATAAATACACCTCTGTTCAATCAGCAGTTTCTTAGGAAGTTGGATAGATTGACACTACTGGGTGAAGAGTTGATAATCATTTAATGACCCTAAATTATCATCATTTTTCTTAAGGAAATGTATAAAAACACCATGACTCTTTATCTGGTGGAGTTTTAACCAACACACCCAAATGAAGTGAAAAATATAGACCCTGTGCGGGAAAATCCTTTGGGGGCAGGAAATGCTCCACCAGATTAGCCAGGATGAAGTTTTGCAAAGGTTTTAGCTTTTCCTCACTTCTTCCCTTCCATTTCAGGACTAGCTGTTTCTCTAAAGCCACCAGACATTTTCATATCTATTGCAGTGATAAGAGGATTCCTTTGCCGGAATAGGGAAGTAAGGAGGAAAAGTTTAATAATTCGTAGTTATGTATCAGGTGTCCATACACTGGAACGAGCTAGTTAGAAAAAGGCCTGAATCCTATTAAATAGCTAGTCACCAATGAATTACAAGTAACCCACAGGACTAGCTTTACAGAAACAGAATAATAGTCATAAAATGTTTGTTTAATATTTTCTTCAACTTACAGAGAAGAAACCCAGATGATGTATCCTTTTTAAAAGGATAAGCTAAAAAAGGTACTAAATGACTATGACATAAAATTATGAACATATACAAAGTAGATTATACTGTATAATCAACCACATAATGAGTCAGGTAAGTCACCTAACTGTAAACAAAAAAAAAAGCTGTCATACTTTTTTACTGGCATTATATAATCCAGCCAACTAGACTGTTAATATTTTTTAGTGTGATACTGAATGCAAGACTTAATTTCATCAATTGGAAGATCTCGATGTACTATTTTCAAAGGCAAGCCTTAATTAATAGACAGTAATTTAAAAATCAATTTATCTTCACTAATTTAAAACTTTTTCCCAGAGCAATCTCACAATATATCAAGATATCCACATTATAGAAATGATGTCTTATTATTCACATTTCAAAATACCCAATCTTTTCTTTTACAAACTTTGCTTTTACCTGATGCAATTTCTAGTTTTATTCTTCTTCTGGGAGGTTTGAGAAATGTGAACAGAATATAAAACAATATAATAATAGGAAAGGAACAAAGCTAGAAATAAACTTAAGGAAAGAGAGTTTTTTCTTATCATCTGGGGGAACAAAATCTCATTTGGAAAGACCGTGCAAGTGTTGTCAATATTTTAAATGCAAACAAGTAATACTTTATAAGAAATATTAAAAGAAAGAAACCTAAATATAGGGAACAGATGCATATTTTGGAATAAGTCTAAGTCTACCTTAACATCTTTGCAAGACAAAATTACATGTCAGGTTGACTCTAAAGAGGATTGGAGAGGTTGGGTAAATAATTCAAATGAATCTAGATTTTTGGCATTATCTCAGTGAAACATCTGGTGCATAACTGAATTTTATTCTTACCCTGGTATGTAAGGTAGAGATAAGATAGATCTGACATGTGGTTAGTTTCTGAAAAGAAATTCAATGAAAATGAAGGGTGGATCTTCCCTGAAAGGACTATATCTACAGGGCACAAAATGAGATTAAAAACCCAGAAATGCAGAGGTTTTGATAAGCTGGTGCTAAGAGTCCAGGTATTTTAACAGTTCTTTTTCAGATGCTTGAAACAACACAGGTATTTACTAAACTCTTTTCACTGAATCAGTCCCCATATAAGAAACCATCAATTCTATTAAACTGAACTAAATTTGTACTATGTGAACTTTTTAACGAATGAAGTGATTTGAGGACTTAACATGAGAGGCTGGATCATGTGCAGTTTCAAGACATCTCACGATTTCAGTCAAATTCTTTAGTTTGCTCAAGTCCTTTTTATCACCACCTCCTTTCCACATGTACCTCTCATAATTTTCCTTTATGCTCTTTAAGGAAGCCCATTCAGACCACTCACTCTGGAACCCTGTGGTTTGGCTTTTTTCTCCCATCCTGAGCTCTAGCTGAGCCTGTTCTTTCCAATTTTGTTAGACCCTCCTCTGGCCCTGTCACTTTCTCACATCTAAATTACACTCATCTGGAAAGGCTCAGCTCAGACAGCACCTGCTTCATACATTCTCCTCATCTGCCCAGTCAGAGTGAACCCTTCTCTCCGGACTCTCACAGCACATGACTGTTGTATCTTTTCTGGCAATTGTCACTTTCTACCTTTAATTGTAGTCGTTACATT